AAACAATAACAGCAAGTCGTATGACTTGGGCATCTTTGCGTTTGTGCAGAAGATCAAGGACTGCGAGGGAATTCCTGTGTGTGTTGCTATCCGTTTGACTATCACATTTCATGTCAGCCATCAAAAGAGAGAAGAGGAATTAAGAATTCCTTTTTACTCCTTGTTACCAAATAAACCGTTTGTCTCTACTCCTGTCTCATCACTCTTTTTACTTTTGGAATGTCATCTTATTTCTCAGACAGCTGATATAATGAATGTTTAGGATTATACCACTTTATTCATTCAACAAATTTATATTAATGTCTGCCCTGTGCCAGCCATTGTTCCAAGGGATTGGGGACACACCAGTGAACAGAAGCCAAGTTCCTGCTTTTGTGGAACTTATACTCTTGCTTTAGGGGCAGGAGTTTGGGGGGCAACTAAACAAATAAGAAACAAGTAAATCCATATTTGTGATAGTGATGCATGCTAAGAAGAAACTTGAAGCAGGGAAAGGGGACAGAGGTGCTATTATATTTTATTTTAAAGTCTTTATTGAATTTGTTAACAATATTGCTTCTGCTTTATGTTTTGTTTTTTTGGCCACGAGGCATGTGGAGTCTTAGCTCCCCGACCAGGGATCCAACCACCCCCTGCATTGGAAGGCGAAGTCTTAACCACTGGACCTCCAGGGAAGTCCCCAGAGGTGCTATTTTAGATAGAAGTGATGGAGGCAGTGCTACGTTGCATATGTGGTCAGGGAAGACCTCTTCTAGGTGACATTTAAGTAGAGATCTGCAAACAGAGATCTGAGTGGAAAAGGGGTGATTCAGACTACAGGGCTGCATTTTTGAGGAACAGCAAAGGGGTCTGGTTTGGCCAGAGAGGAGAAAGTAAAGATCAGTAAGGGCCCAGATCATGCAGGCATCTGTAAGCCATGCAAAGGAGTATTTATTTTATTATGAGTGAGGTGTGAAGCCATTGGAGGGTTTTGAGCAGTGTTGTTTTGTTTGTTTGTTTGTTGGCCACACCACGTATGGCATGTGGGATCTTAGTTCCCCAACCAGGGATCGAACCCATGCCCTCTGCATTGGAAGCATGGAGTCTTAGCCACTGGACCACCAGGGAAGTTCCCTTGAGCAGTGTTTTTATTTTTATTTATTTTTTTTTTTGAGCAGTGTTTTTAAAAGATTGTTCTAGTTAGCATGTGGAAAGCAAGAGTGAAACGGAGACAGTTGCACTGCAGCAGTGGGCTGAGGAGAGATGATGGCTTAGCCTTGGGTGGTATAAAGTGATGGAGATGGTTGAGCCATTGGACTTTGCCTGTGTTCCTGAGGTCAACAGAATCTGCTGTCAATGTGGGTTATAAGAAGAGGAATCAATGATAATTTCAAGGTTTGGGGCCTGACCAACTGGGAAGTAGAGTTGTCATTGACTTGAGATGGAAAGAACTTGAGGAAGTGCAGGTTTGAGAAGGAAGGTTGAGTGTTTGGTTTTGGACATAATTAAATTTAACATGCTTGTTAGACGTTGGGTGGGCAGAGTGAATAGGATGCTGAATAGTGAGTCTGGTGTATTCGCATTTTCAGCACAGTTCAATTGAGCTAAGAATGTGACAAGGGTATGGCTGGGGACCTGCTGTTCAAAAAGAGCCCATGACACAGGGAGGCAGCTGGGGGAAACTTTTCTCCAATGAGACAACAAAGGACTTGTCTTTTGCACTTCAGCAAAACCTCTGCAAGCGTCTCGGCTTGGGAGTTGCCAGTCTACTTTCACAGAGCAGGTTTTTACTTTGCGGTTGGTAAAACGATCTAAGCACGCAGAAATTACCTAACTGGGAACTACAGGGAGTGCTGAGAACCTCAGTCCTTGCTGGTGTTGAACATAGGCTCCAGGAGCACTTGGCAGTGCTGGTTAGATGACCAGGTGGTATTTCAGAAGAAACATCATATGGCATATCCTTCAGCAAGGTGGTTAATTAAAATGAAAAGTCAACTCACCAGGATAAGGGACTGGACTTCGGGCACCACTGTACCGTCAATGTGGACCATTGGAAAAGGCAACAAGGATTAATGAGGTCACAAGTGATCTTTCAAGAGCTGTTTAGTAGTAGGCTGGGGGCAGATGCCAGCTGTCTGGCCTCAAAGAGCTTGGGGATAGAGGAACTGAAGCAGCAGTAGACATCTTGTCTGTGCGGTTTAGCAGGAAAAATGACAAACAGAATGAAAGCTGGAAGGGGACTTACCTGGTGGTACAGTGGTTAAGAATCCTTCTGCCAATGCAGGGGGCATGGGCTTGATCCCTGGTCTGGGAAGATACCACATGCCGCAGAGCAGCTAAGCCCATGTACCACAGTTAAGCCTGCGCTTTAGAGCCCGTGTGCCACAACAACTGAGCCCACGTGCCTAGAGCCCGTGCTCCACAACGAAGAGTAGCCCCCGCTCGCCACTAGAGAAAGCCGGCGCGCAGCAATGTAGACCCAACGCAGCCAAAAATAAATAAAATTAAATCTTAAAAAAAAATCCTTTAAGAAAATAGATATTTAATAAATCATCCCCAAAAAAAACAAAAAATGGCAACTCTGGAAAATGCTTTGAAGGAGAGATCCATGGGGTATTGAGAAACTCTAACAGACCTAGTTAAGGAAGGCTTCCCTGAGGACATCAGATCTGAGGAAGATCTGAAGGAAGATCTGAAGGAAGATAGAGTACTAACTAGTCAAAGAAGGGAAGGAAGGGCTTTCCATAGTGTGGCAACAAGTGCAAAGGCCCTGACGAGGAAAGAACAAGGAGAAGACCAATACCACTAGATATAAAAACCCAAAGAAATATGCCAACAGATGAGGCAGGAGGGTGCTGGTCATACAGGGCTGTGAGCCCTACTATGGGACTTTGTCTGCATTTTAAAAGTGCTGGGAAACCACTGAAGCATTTGAGCAAGGGAGTGACATCATATCTGCATTTTGAAAACATCAGTCTGGCTGCTCTGTGAAAAAGAATTGGAGTTGGGCAGAAAGAGGTTGAAGTCCAAGGTTAACAAGCAGTCCAAGAGGGAGACAACAGCAGTTCACACTAGGGTGTTGCCATGAAAATGGACAGAATTGGATGGACTCAAGAGATAGAAAGCTCAACAGGACTTGGTAATGGATTATATATTGGATTATATTATGGGGGTGAAGGGAAGGGAAATGACAAGGTGATTCACTTTTCAGTTTATGCAACTAGACAAATGGTGGTACTAATCCCTGAGATAACCCTGGAAGATGATTCCCCCACCAGGAGTCTTTAAAGACAAGGAGTCAGTCGCAGATTAAAAATGCTGGAGGGACTTCCCTGGCAGTCCAGTGGTTAAGACCCCGCGTTTCCAATGCAAGGGACGCAGGTTCGATCCCTGGTCAGAGAACTAAGATCCCACATGCCGCACGGCCAAAAACAAAAAACAAAACAAAAAAAACTAAACATGGAGAGAGGAACGAGGATCAGGGTCCTGACACTTGGAGGAGGCCTGTGGCCCTTTTCCTCTGATCTAGAGAGAAAGATGGGGGTCAAGTAAGTTGCACTTCTTCTCTAGCTTTTGAGGGGTAGTAAGAAAAGTGAATTCTCTCATCTTTAGTAATTGAGGTATAGAGCTGCTGAATGGTACAGGCTCCTGAACTATCCAAGACAGCTATACTACCTATACCTGACAATCTGAAGGTTTAGAGCTGTCCAATATGGTAAGCCACTAGCCACATATGGCTATTGAGCGTTTGAAATGTGGCTGGTCAGAACTTAGATGTAGTGTAAGTGTAATATACACACCAGATTTCTTAAACTTAGTATGAAAAGAAGAATGTAAAATATCTGAAATTTATTTTAAAAATATTGATTACACGTTGAAATATGTTGAATATGCTGGGTTAAATAAAATATATGGTTAAAATTAATTTCACTTATTTCTTTTGACTTTTTAAAATGTAGCTACTAGAAATTTTTTAATTACATATCTGGCTCGAATTATATTTCTACTGGACATCGATGTTTCAGACAAAAATTCAGACTAGTGTTCCAGGATACGAAATCATTCTACTATTTGAATCTATCCTACCGGGTAGTCAGCTTCCCTGAGCCCGTTTAACCGCTGCCTAAGCACAGCGCCGGAAGTCGCTAGACTCTAAGGATCAGCCCAGCCGCCCCTGGCTCCGCCCCCTGAACGACTACAAGAGCCAGCGTGCACTGCGCGCCTCCGGAGACTGACCTGAAAGAGCCGCCTCTTTGTGACGTCACGCCCGTTGCGCCGCGCGGGTTCTGTTCGTTCCCTTCGAGAGCTCGCGTTGTGGAGGTGGGAGGGGAGCGTCTGTGAAGGGGGTGGCTTCGTGCGGCCGAGGGCGCGCAAATAAGGGGGACCTTGGGGGTCCTGGGTGAGGCCCCCTCTGTCCGACTTTCCGGAGCCCTTTTTGTGTGGGGAGAGGATATCAGGACCGCGCCTCTCGCACCGCGCGTCCGGTGGGAAAATGCGGCTCCTTTCAGGGAAATGCCAACGTCTCCCCGTGCAGAAAGCTCCTACTGCGGACGAGAGCGGGGCGCGTGGCCTCTCGGCAGCATCCCACAAAGCCCAAGGGGGCAGGCACGCACGTTGTCCCTGCTGCAGGGGCCTGGAGTCTCCTAATGGGCCCCACCCGGGCCCCTGGAGGATATTGAGGAGGGGGTCTAAGGGAAGTAGGCTTCACTTCCAACTCCTCTAAAGCCTTTCTCCTCTGGCAGCCGAATTACCTTAACTTTTCTTTTTTTTTTAAATTTAATTTATTTATCTTTTGGCTGTGTTGGGTCGTTGTTTCTGTGCGCGGGCTTTCTCTAGTTGTGAGCAGGGGCTACTCTTCGTCGTGGTGCACGGACTTCACATTGCGGTGGTCTCTCCTGTTGTGGAGCACCGGCTCTAGGCGTGTGGGCTTCAGTAGTTGTGGCATACAGGTTCAGTAGTTGTGGCTCACAGGCTCAAGAGCACAGGCTCAGTAGTTGTGGTGCATGGGCCCAGTCGCTCCGCGGCAGGTGGGATCTTCCCGGACCAGGGCTCAAACCCGTGTCCCCCGCGTTGGCAGGCGCATTCTTAACCACTGTGCCACCAGGGAAGCCCAACATACTTAGATCTTGGTTTGCTTAAATAGGCCACCACAGCATTAGAGCCTCATCGATCTAATGGCTTCCTTGTTTAATTAATTTAACACAACGCAATTTTTCTCGTTGTAGGAAAGTCAGTTGTCTGCTATATGCATTGGGGTTCAGTAGAGCCTTTTTTGTTTGTTTGTTTTTGGTGACATGTCTGGCTTTGTGCATCACCATATGATCTTATTTTCTACTAGGAAGCTTTTCATACATTTGAGTCCAAATGAGGTCACTGAGTGAGCATCCATAGAGTCAAGAGTGAGAGAGTTTCCAGGGAAGTATTCTAGGCCTCTTTAGGTCTGATCTGCTTCATGGTTTCTTATTCATGGTTTTACGTGTCCATTACAGTTCCACTACCTGATAAGGAGCCCAAGGCAAATCAATCAGGAAATTCAAGTGTTCTTTTTTGTAATATTAATCTCAGTTGACATTAATTATGCTCAACGTTGTACCAATTGCTTTTTGTAATTATTTAAGCCTCGCAGTAACTCCAGTGGATTACATACTACTGTCTCTATTATCAGATGATACAGAAAGGTTAAGTAATCTACGCAGTATCGCACAGTTACTTTGTAGCAAAAGCAGGATGAGAATCCGGAAATGCTAACTCCAAAGGACTCACTCTGAGAAGCAGAACACTTGACTGGTGAGAAACCACTAGACTCTTGTCACTTCTCCCCTCTGCATCATAAAACGCTGTAGAAGAAATTAAACGGTTGCTTTCCCGATGGGGGCATCAGTGGAGGTTTACTAGAGGGAGGTAAACTATCTGCTATGACGGAATGACAAGTAAAACGTCTGAAAAAGAGGACGGAAAAGAAAAACCTTCTCCCCGGAAAGATAAACTTTGTATGGTGAGGGTCTGTCCAAAGCAAGCTGAGGTCTGCAGCCTCAGCTATTTTACATGCTATTTCCAAATGAAAATTGGAGTAACAAGGATACTTCCCTCTCATATGCTTTCATTTTGAGTAGTTAGGTTCAGATTCATTAGAAACATGTCAAATATATAACATTAGAAGAAGAAAAAAAGCAGCTTGAAGAAATAGGGTATCTTCTGGGGTTGTGAGATTTGGGACTTCTTTAGTCTTTCATTAAAGATGAAAAGAAGGCAGAGGGGTAGTAGGAGAAGATGATACATAGGGTTCTGAACTGAGAAACCTCAGTATGAACATGAATGGGCTATATCTGAATGCCTGCTGAAGCACCGGTGCAGGGTTGTAGCATCTTGCATTCGTTCTCCTTTCTGCCCTTCTGATGGTTGTGGGTTTTGATCAGGGCCTCAGCACCAGCTCACACCATGTGGACCGCGGATGAGATTGCGCGGCTCTGTTATGAGCACTATGGGAGCAGGCTGCCCAAGCAAGGGAAGCCTGAGCCCAACCGCGAGTGGACGTTGCTGGCAGCCGTGGTGAAGATACAACCTACAGCTGACCAGGCCTGCGACCGCCCTGACAGACCGGTGCAAGGTGAGACCTCTTCTCCCTGGAACGCTGTCTCTCCCTGTAGGAGATGGTAGAACTACGCAGGGCTAGGCAGGGACGATGGCGGTTGGGTGTAAACCGCGATGTTGGGCATGTTCCGCTGCTCCCCGCCAGGGGGCGGGGTACATCTGGTGGTGGTAGATGGCCGTGCTGGAACCGCAGTGCACAGTTAAGTCAGCCTTTGGGGGACTCAGTGTGCAGACTTATTAAACCTATAGATCATTCAGATTCTGAGAGCACACGTAATGATTTTTTTTTCCCCCTCAGTGACAAAGGAAGTTGTCTCAATGGGAACAGGAACCAAATGCATAGGCCAGTCCAAAATGAGGAAGAGCGGTAAGCCCCGGTGGGGTCTGAACAGGGCCTGTTAGGGAGCTTTTGGAAACCGGTGTGTATGTTATCCGTTCCTCTTCTCGGCAGAGCAAAGGGGCAATATCGCTAGGTGGCTGACCTTTCAGTTCCCACTGACTGTCGCTCCAGTTGAAAGGTCAGAACTCATTTAAAGAATGGAAGTAAGCTGTGGAAGCAAAGGCCACCAAGAACATCTTTCTGAGTGGCTTGAAAGTTGGCCAGTATTTTCATGCTCAAACCAAAAGTTGCCTGGGCTTAGCTATTCCATATTAGATCTGAAGCCCCACAAAGCAATCTTTCATTAAATGGAGATTTTGGCACCAGAAAGAATAGGGAAATCCCTTAGAGGTCTGGCATCTTCACCTTCTGGTTGCCAGTTAACAGATTCCTCCTCCAGTTTGCTTTCCTCATTCTCCTAGCCTTTCCTCCTGGATATGGTGAAGCTGTTCCAGGACCACTATTGATAGAATTCGATGGAATTTTATCACTATGAGCACAAGTATGGCATGAGGGTACAAAAGATCTGGACTCTTCTCCTCCATATAAAGATTTCCCTATAAATCAGGAGTTCTCAGCTAGGGGAGATTTTGCCCTCCAGGAGACATTAGGCAATATGTGGAGACATTTTGATTGTCAAAACTGGGGAGAGGGGAATATGCTAGTGGTCTCTAGTGAGTAGAGGCCAGGAATGCTGCTAAACATCCTGCAAAGCCCAGGACCGCGCCCCTCTGCCCCATTCAACAAAGCATTTTCCAACCCTAAATGTCAGTAGTTGAGGAAACCCTGCTGTAAATGCTTTGCCAGTAATGATTGTAAAACTTTCAGGCAAAGCCCTCCAGGAGCTACGTGGTCATTCTGGGTGCTGGGAGAAGCTACTATGTTCTGCTTTTAGGAACCAGGGAATCTCCAGGTTCCATATGTTTTCACCAATGTCCTGTCTTTGCCACAGGAGACATCCTCAATGATAGCCATGCTGAGGTCATAGCCAGAAGGAGCTTCCAAAGGTAAAGCTATAACCCGAAAGAGTCTGATTTAGCTTGGGTGGAGGCCCCAGAATATGCATTTCTAATAAGCTCCTAGGTAATACTGATTATGTAGGCCTCTGAACTGCACTTAAAATAGTGCTCATCTAGACAGTGGTTCTCATGCTTGATGTGCGTCAGAATCACCTAGAGGGTTTGTTAAAACCCAGGGCTTCCCTGGTGGCGCAGTGGTTGAGAGTCCACCTGCCAATGCAGGGGACGCGGGTTCGTGCCCCGGTCCGGGAGGATCCCACATGCCGCGGAGCCGCTGGGCCCGTGAGCCATGGCCACTGAGCCTGCGCATCCGGAGCCTGTGCTCCGCAACGGGAGAGGCCACAACGGTGAGAGGCCGCAAAAACAACAACAACAACAAAAAGCTAGATAGCTGGGACCATCCCCAGAGATTCTGATTCAGCAGATCTGGGTGGAGCCTGATAAGTTGCATTTCTAATAAATTCCAGCTGATGCTGATGCTGCTGTTTCAGGAACCGCATTTTGAGAATCACTGGGCTAGGTCATTCTCATAATTCCAAGTCGCTACCAGTCCCATTGGTCTGCAGTATCTCTTTCTTTCTTAGTAATCACGCAGCCAGAGTCTTTCCCTTTACCACAGAGACTGGTTGTTCGTTCTGATAACATCCTGCACCCCATTAGGTACCTTCTCCATCAGCTCCACTTGGCAGCCACCCTGAAGGAGGAATCCATCTTTGTCCCAGGAACTCAGAGAGGACTGTGGAAACTCAGACCAGACCTCTTGTTTGTGTTTTTCTCCAGCCATACACCCTGTAAGTATATTAATGCCTTTGGATTCATGTTACATTGTCTGCTTCCTTATTGTTGTCTTATCCATAGTTTCTCAAAAAAACACCTTAGATGAAGTGTAGCTACAACCATTGATAGTGCCTCTTTGTGAACAGCCCAGTGTGCCTAATCACGTCTCTACCAAGGAAAAGTGGAGGGAGCTTCACTCATACTATTATTCAGTTCTCAGTTCCCAAGCAGGATTTGGAAGCTTAAAGCTGAGACCCCACAAGGTCCAAAACCAACAAGAGGGCTTAGAGGTCCAAAGCCCTGAGTTCTATGGTGATTTATCCTGAAACTCATTTCATTCATTCATTAAACATAAATTTTCTACTCCTTGTCAGGCAAATGTGACATACTGGTTATGTAGCAGTGAATAAGACTAGTCCCTTGCTTACCCTTTAGTTTTTTAGGAAATGTAGACAGTCATGGTTAGTTAAGGTAAATTTTGATGAGTTGTAAGGGGATGTTCAGGTGCTCTGGTTGCATTAGGCAGGAAGACCAGACCTGGCCGATTTTCTATCCTTTGTTTTTCTGTCTTGAAAATTGGGAATAATTCCTACCCTTTGTAGACAACAGTTCAGGGATGGTAGTAAAATTTCCTCACCCTAAAAACTTTGAAATAAGGATATAATATTGTCCCCTGAGTATTAAATTTTAAAATTAACTATGCAATTAGAGCAGATAGGTAATCACTCTTAAGAGACAATAACTGAAGATCATAACTCAAATCAAAAATATAATATAGCTTATGAAAGAACAGGAAAATGACATACAGAGGGAGGCAGGACTCATCCATACTCTATTCTTAGCAGTGCCCTGATAGGTTGTTTCCTAACTCAGTGCTTATCAAACTGTAATATGCATATAAATCACCCAGGGATCTTGTTAAAATGCAGATTCAAATTCAGTAGGTCTGGGGTAGAACCGGAGGTCTGCATTTCTAACCAACTCCCAGGTGGTGCCAGTGGTATTGGCCCATGTATCACATTTTGAATAGCCAGGGCCTGGCTGATCCCAGTGGGAGGTGTAGCATTCCTGTGGAGAGATACATCTGGAGATCACAGCTGGCCTGACCGCCTAATCAGAGGACATAAATCAGTGGTCTACAGGCTGGTACTGCTTTGTGAGAGTGTACTGGTCCATGGCCAGATGAGAAAAATCAGGACTACTCAGTGAGTTTTTCAAAACACTAATTTCTTTCCATTTTAAGGTTATGAGATTTTTATGCATTTTTAAAATAATGATAAATAGGATTTTTAAAGATCTTACTTGGTGGAATAAAAAGTTGTCAACACTCTAGTCGTCTTAAAATCTTCTGGAGATTTTACTGGTCTTTGAAATCAAAATTTAGAACCACTGATCTAACTCCCAGGGTGATGGGTAATCTTTTACAGTGTGATGTCCACCGATGGTTTGTCTGCAGGGAGAAAGAACACTACCTAGAGAATGTGACTATTTGGCTCCCTTGGCATTTATTCCTCATTACTAATTGATAAGTTGGTGCCTGGATTGGCTACTTCAGACTGGTACTTGTGAGCTGTATTAGCATGAGTCAGCCTCTTGAGTTCAGGCATCTGTCAAGATCAAATCTCTGAGCCTTCAGAGTGGGAGGTGGGCCCTGGGGAATTCTCCAAAGTCACTGTCACCTTGTGAGGTCTCTGGAAGCCTGCCAGCCAGCCTCTCTGGCAACACTCCCACTTCTGCATCTCTTGCCTTTCCCACTCTTAGGTTATAAAGACCACAGACGTATTATTTACACACTTTAGAAAAGCAATACACATTAGTGTTTGAAGAAGAAGCTCCCTTCTCACAGGGGCGGTGTGCTTTTTACTGACCTCTGGTTTTCTTTGATTACCTGTAAACACAGAGTGGGTCAGAAACCTCTAAACCAGCTTGGGGAAACACCAGTTGTGTAATTTACTGAGTCTTTACTGTGAGGATGTGCAAGATGGGGAAATTGTGAGCATTATTTGCCAAACTTATTTAACCATGAAATCAACCATCCACTTTTGTTTTCCAAGGCATCTTATGGAATAATATTCCACAGAATGCACTTGAGAAACTGTGCTCATTCTAAGCCAGGGGTTCTCAACTCAGGATCATTCTGCTGCCCAGGGGACATTTGGCAGCATCTGCAGACATTTTTGATTGTCAGACTCAGGGGTGCTATTGGTATCTAGTAGGTGGAGACCAGGGAGGCTGCTAAACATCCTGTAATATATAGGGCAAGCCTCCATGGCAAAGAATTATCTGGCCCAGAATGTCAACGTGGAGGTAGAGAAACCTTGGTCTACTAGTGTTTCCAAAACTTCTGTGGTAAGAATCACCTGGGATCTTTGTTAAACAATTCAGTTTTCAAGACTCCTCCCACTGAGAGAGTCTAGCTCACTGGGTCTAGGATACGGTCTTCAGCAAGAACCTCAGAGAATTCTTGTTAGGGAAATTTGGCCAAGTGTTCTTAACTCAGGTAGCTGGGAGAATAGAATTAAGCTTCATTTAAGTCAGTGGTTCTCAAACTTGACGTTGCATCAGTATCACCTGGAGACCTTGTTAAAACAGACTGCTGGGTACCACCTCTAGAGTTTCTGATTCAACAGGGCTACTGTGGGTCCCAAGAATTTGCATTTCTATCAAGTTCCCAAGGGATGCTTATGTGGCTGGTCTGGTGGCCTCACTTTGAGAACCACTGGTTTAAGTGATTTCTTCTCCTACAGGTGGGGATGCCTCCATCATTCCAATGCTTGAGTTTGAAGATCAGCCTTGCTGTCCTGTCAGTAGAGATTGGGCCAATAATCCATCAGTAGAAGCTAGTGGTAACCTAGAAGCTCCTGAAGATAAAAGGAAATGTGAAGACTCAGATAGTCCTGTGACCAAAAAGATGAGGCTTGAGCCCAGGACTCCTGATGGTATGGCTCACCATCAGAGTTTTGGCAACCAGGAAAGTGGCCCTAATTCACCAGATGTCAGCAGCTCTAATCTCACTGCAGAGGAACTAGCCACTGTCACTGGAATGGCCCCCGGTGGCGCCAAAGTGGTGGACGTTTATAGAACTGGAGCCAAGTGTGTGCCTGGAGAAGCTGGAGACTCAGGGAAGCCTGGTGCTGCCTATCACCGGGTGGGGCTGCTCCGAGTGAAGCCAGGCCGGGGGGACAGGACTTGCTCCATGTCCTGCAGTGACAAGCTGGCACGGTGGAACGTCCTCGGATGCCAGGGGGCACTGTTGATGCACTTCCTAGAAGAGCCCATCTACCTGTCAGCTGTGGTCATTGGGAAGTGCCCATACAGCCAGGAGGCCATGCAGAGAGCACTGATTGGGAGGTGAGAGGGCAGGGAGGGAACAGTCTTTCCAAAAAGCAGTCTGAGAATATGTCCAAAGAGCCTGGACATACATACATACGTACAAAGAGTTAAGAATTTGTTTTAAGGAAATAATTAAGAAAGTGCTCAAATATTTAGCTTTGTGTGTACTAATTTAAGGAAAAAAAAAAAAAACCACTGAAATGGCCAGCAATAGAAGATTGTGATTTTTGTTACAACTAATATTGATGAATATTTAACATGGAAAGATGCTTATAATGTTTAAAGAGCAATTTAGAAGGTAAAACGAGTTCGTTTCGGTCTTAAAGTATATATGCCCATAGAAAAAATTTATAGGAGGATATACACCAAGGTATTAATATGATTACCACTGAGTTGTGGTATTATGTGTGATTTTTTTCTTCTTTGTGATTATTCTATTTTCTAATTTTTGTGCAGTGTGCATATATTGCTGTTATAATGTTTAAAAACCTTCAGACATTAGGGTTAATTTTTTAAAAAGAAAAAAAGACAAATGACCACTCAAGCGTGGTCTCCCTGAAGAAGGGCAGCCAAACCTGATTAATGCTGTAGTAACTGAGGGCAGATAAGGCCATGACCAGGGGAGGTCTGTGGGCCCTTGTCAAATGTACCACTCCTAAAGCTGACTCTTGGAAGCAGCCCCAGGATATGACCCACTAATTCCACTCCCAGGTGCATACACAAGAGAAATGAAGACATACATCCACATAAAAGTTGTACACGAATGTTCATAGCAGCATTAGTCATAATAGCCCAAATGTGCAACAACCCAAATGTCCATCAGCTGGTGAATTGATAAACAAAAGGTGGTAGCTCCCTGCAGTGGAATGTTACTCAGCCACAAAAAGGAATGAAGGACTGATACATGTCACAACATGGATGAACCTTGAAAATCTTACGCTAAGTGAAATAAGCCACACGTTGTATGGTTTCATGGAGTGAAATGTCCAAAATAGGCAAATCCATAGAGACAGAAAGTAGATTCATGGGTGCCAGGGGCTGGAGAAGGGGATGGTGAATGACTGCCGTTAGGTGCAGGATTTCTCACCGGGGTGACGAAAATGTAGATTGCAGTGCTTGTTGCACAACTCTGTGACTATACTTAAAAAATTGAATTATAACTTTAAATGGGTGAATTTTATGGTGTATAAACTATATGCCAATAAATATGTTAAGAGAAAAAAGGCAATCCTAGGCACTGTGCCCAAGACATTTTCTGTTTTCCATGTTTTCTTGATTCCAAGACTTTAAGTTGCTGTCTGCTCCGCTCTAGACCCACTACATGTTGGCATCTAGTTTGTGTGAAATATTCAAGAGAAAAAAATGAAGCTTTTATATTATAGTATAATTTTGGTTTCTGGCCTGTTTTATGGACTCCCTAGGAAGCTGATGCCGACAGGTTAGTATTTCTTGTTAAGGTTTTCAAATCTTTCACAGCCAATATGAGAAATGGAGTTCGGTGTTACTGAAGTCCCTGAGGGGTGGTGACTCAGTTTATAGCTGTCACTTCAGAGTGATGGAAGAGATCTTTCTTCAGCCATAAGGTTCATAGGATCTGGATTCTATTCTGTCACAACCTCCTATACCATCCTCCCCATAAATAAATAAATAAATAAATCCACACACCTTCTAAGGCCTTTGCCTCCCACTGAGACATGGGTGGTGATGTGGTCCACAGTCCTAGATACTCTCTTTCTCGATGAGTGAGCCTAAACTACACGCCTTTCCCCTCACGTTTAGGTGTCAGAATGTCTCAGCTTTACCTGAAGGCTTTGGAGTTCAAGAAGTGAAACTACAGCAGTCAGATTTACTATTTGAACAGAGCCGCTGTGCAGTAGAGGCAAAAAAGGCTGAGAACCAAGGCCGACTTGTTCCTTGTGGGGCAGGTAAGGGATCCATGTTCCACTTGCTCTGGAGTAACTTGTCCCTGGACATTAGAGTGGCCTGGAAGGGACTGCATCCTCCCAGCCTGGGGTAGCAGTTTACCACTCAAGTGGTCAATAGCATGGGCTCGGGAGATACCCACACTGGGTCAAGTTCACACTCTTTATGACCCTGGGCAACTTGTCCTCTCTTAGCCTCAGTTCCTTCATCTTCGGATAAGAATATCATTTGTCAGGTTGTTACGAAGAATAAATGAGAAATTCTGTTTCGTGCATTTACTGGGTTCATCATGTAATAAATACTCAATGATTGTTAGCTATGATGATGATGGTGGTGGTGGTGGTGATGATGAATCATGAACCACTTATACTGTTGTATTCTGGAGGCCAGGCATCAGAGTGGCAGCCACTGTCTCTGGCATCATATCCAGCTCTCATGAGTCTTCAGTGGTAGGGGAATATTTTTATTAAAATACCTCTGACATTTACAGAAAACTGAACAGTTTTAACCCCAGAATCTTATCTTTTCATAGCCATCGGCTGGAGTGCAGTTCCTGAGCAGCCACTGGATGTCACCGCCAATGGCTTTCCGCAGGGAACAACAAAGAAAGGAATCGGACGCCTTCAAGCCAGGTATAGCATATTGGGGCAGAAGGAGATGGTGGCAGTGCATTCACACCTCACCACCCTGTAATTCCAGAACATTTTCTTTTTCTTTCTTTTTTTTTTTGGCTGCGTTGGGTCTTCATTGCTGCACGCGGGCTTTCTCTAGGCGAGCAGGCTTCAGTAGCCGTGGTTCGCAGGCTCTAGAGCGCAGGCTCAATAGTTGTGGCACATGGGCCTAGCTGCTCCACAGCATGTGGGATCTCCCCGGACCAGGGCTCGAACCCATGTCCCCTGCATTGGCAGGCGGGCTCCCAACCACTGCGCCACCAGGGAAGCCCCTATCTGTTCATCCTTTGGTGGGCATTTGGGTTATTTCACTTTTTGGCTATTATAAATAATAATTCTGCTCTGAACATTCATATACAAGCTTTTGGGTGGACATTTGTTTTCAACTCTCTTGGGTATACCTAGGAGTGGGATAGCTGGGTCATGGGATAACCTTAATTTAACTTCTGAGGAACTGCCAAACTGTTTTACATAACAGCTGCACCATTTTAAACTTCCATCAGCAATGTATGAGTATTTCAATTATCCTGCATCCTTTCCAACACTTGTTATTGTCTGTCTTGTAATCATTTTAGTGGGTGTTAAGTTCTATTTCATTGTGGGTTTGATTTGCATTTCTCTAATAACTAATGATGTTGAACATCTTTTACTGTACTTATTAGTCATTTGTATATCTTCTTAAAGAAATATCTGTTCAGATCTTTTGCCCATTTTTTAAATTGGTTTATTTGTCTTTTCATTGTTGATTTGAGAGATTTCTTTATATATTCTGGATATGAGTCCTTTATCAGATATATATTTCAGATAATTTCTCCAGTTCTGTGGATTGTCTTTTCAGTTTTTGAAAGTGTCCTTTAAAGCACAAAAGTTTCAAATTTTAAGGAAGTCCATTTTATCTATTTTTGTATTTCATGGTTTGTGCTTTTAGTATCATATGTAAGAAACCATTGTCACAAAGATTTACTTTGTGTTTTCTTCTCATGGCTTTAGCTTTTATGTTTAGGACTTCGATCCATTTTGATTTAATTTTTTATAAGGTGTGAGGTAGGGATCCAAATTCATTCTTTTGCATGTGGATGTCCTTGTCTCAGCATTTCTTGGAAAGACTGTTGTTTCCCCTGGAAGATTTTGAAAGGAACACTTTCTTGGGCTTTACCACTAGAGATTCTGGTTTAGTGGGTCAAGGCTGGAACCCGAGAATCATTTATGAAGCTGCACAGTGATCAGACTGGCAAGAAGGGTGCCATGAAAACAAGACTTTGTATCTTCAAATTGGCTTTTATTGAAATGTGGAGCATATGATCTGTTGGATATGAGACTTGGGTTTCATGATTGTGTGTTTGGAGTTTCATGCATCTGCCTTATTTGTTCTTCTTTTGTTAAATGTTCATCTTGCCCCCTCTGCTTTTCCCTCCCAGTGAGCCACAGAGGGTCTGCAATAACACGAGGGTGGGTGGGGCTATGGGGTAGCAGCCTCCCCACCAAAGGCATTTCCATCTGTTTGGATTGAGCTGCCTCTGAATGACTGTTGTAGGACTCCCACAATTTATAGGTAGTTCTTTTCATTCTAAGTGGCTTTTCCATTTCTTTATTGCGCCCTTATAAAAAGTTGTATTGGGGCTTCCCTGGTGGCGCAGTGGTTGAGAGTCTGCCTGCCGATGCAGGGGACACGAGTTCGTGCCCCGGTCCGGGAAGATCCCACATGCCACAGAGCGGCTGGGCCCGTGAGCCATGGCCGCTGAGCCTGCGCGTCCGGAGCCTGTGCTCCGCAACGTGAGAGGCAAAAACAGAGAGACCCCCACGCACCGCAAAAAAAAAAAAAAAAAGTTGTATAGTAATTAAAGTTCACAGGTGGATTTGTTTCTTTTCTTTTTGACATGCTTATTTGTCTCCCTCAATGGAAATAATAATAACTTACATCTTTTTAGACTTAAAAAAAAAAAAGTTTTTTTCTTCACAGACACTAAGCAGGGTTCAAATGGCCTATACAGCAGACCCAGCCTGCCTCTTGGTGGCCTAAGCTGTTGAATTGAGTAGTATTTACAAAATTGTTAGGGGTAGAAATTTTTTAACCAGTTTTTTCTCAAGGGCCTCCCTGCTTCAGGCCATTGTCTGCATCTCTCCGGGGACCAGCAGTTAACCACAGGCCACGATGTGTGAGCAGAGCAGGTCACAAGGGACAGGGAGCACACTTCCTGCTGAGCTCTGCCTTTACTGTAAGTGACAGGCTAGCAGCAACCCATACTGGCCCCACCCACCTGCCTGTGGCTTCAGTTTGCTGTTTTGCTCAAGTCTAAATGCTCTTCACTGTGAACCTACACCATCTTTTACCTTAAAAGCTTTCCTTACGACTTCTTTCTGGCTCAAAATTACCAACTTTTCTCCAGATTCCTAAAGTGCTGTTTTCCAGTTTATCCCAATATGTCAGTGTTTTATGTGTGATTGGGAGTGCCCCGTGTTCTCACCCTGGCTCCGTCTCCAGTTGTCAGGTGACTTTGGACAAGTCCAGTAGCTCTCTGGGCCTCAGTGTGTTCGTACGTGTAAAACAAGGATATTGGAGTAGATGATCTGAGGTATCTGACATGTTGTGGGTGTCCATTTAGAAGGCAGACTCCATACAGGAGGAAGTTCATGGTGGAAAGAGCAGAAGCTTTGCAGTTCAAGAGACTGATGTTTAATTCCTGGCTCCCTTTCCCCCCAAGTGTGTGAATTGGGCAAATTACTTTACCTCTCTGGGCCTCAACTTCCCTAACAATAAAGCAAGGGTAACTCATAGTATCTGTCACACGGGAATGTTGTGAAAATTGAATGAGAGAGAGTGCCTCTAACATGGTACAGGGCTTGCAGTAGACATCTTGTTAAGATAGATTTCTTCTTCAGTCATCAAATGAATCTAAACATTATGTGTTTTGGTTTTTTTTAAGACACTTTTTTTTTTTTTTTTTGGCTGTGTTGGGTCTTCGTTTTTGTGCGAGGGCTTTCTCTAGTTGCAGCAAGCGGGGGCCACTCTTCATCACGGTGCGCGGGCCTCTCACTATCATGGCCTCTCTTGTTGCGGAGCACAGGCACCAGACGCGCAGGCTTAGTAGTTGTGGCTCACGGGCCTAGTTGCTCCGCGGCATGTGGGATCTTCCCAGACCAGGGCTCGAACCCGTGTCCCCTGCATTGGCAGGCAGATTCTCAACCACTGCGCCACCAGGGAAGCCCCTGCACATTATGTTTGAAAGGGCCAAAGTTACTTTAATTTTAAAGACCAACAGCTGCTGGGGAGAGTGGGTTTTTCTCACTTCTCATTCCTGAGTGCTATCCTGGAACTACCTTTTTTAGAATGATCTGGAGTATGAACTCAAGACTGGGATGTTAGAAACATTTAAAATACTAGTGCGACACTCAAAGGTAATATTTTATTTTAAGTCTTTGTGTTTATTGCAAACAATGAGATAATAACAGGAATCAGATAAAGGACCCTCATTTTCAAGAAGCTTAATTTTTTTTGCGTTACGCGGGACTCTCACTGTTGTGGCCTCTCCCGTCGCGGAGCACAGGCTCCGGACGCACAGGCTCAGCGGCCACGGCTCACGGGCCCAGCCGCTCCGCGGCATGTGGGATCTTCCCGGACCGGGGCACGAACCCGTGTCCCCTGCATCGGCAGGCAGACTCTCAACCACTGCGCCACCAGGGAAGCCCAGCAAATCCTTTTAAATTCTCTTTGCCCTGAAGAGGCATAGTCTCTTCCCTTCCCAGATGAGCTACCAGAGCATCCTGGAGAGATCATTACATGGCTCATTGGATTATAAAAGAGAAGGGTAAGAGATTAAAAAAGCAAACAAAAACGAAAACTAAGCGTGTCTAAGTATGTTAGAATAAAGATAGGGCTAGGTTGAAATGTGAATGTGTAATCTTTAAAAAATTATGTATGGATAGCTTTCCTAGCTCTTTGATACACCAACCAGTAGTGTTAACCAGCTCACCAGGAAGACTAATATCTAAGAATGTAATCCTCACTGTTAAAAGGAACTAGGGCTTGTTGGAGCATAGCAGCTAGCAGCCACCAAGATTATTTTGCTCCACAGATGACATCATTGGTTATTATTGGGTGGGCCTCTTTGACAGAGGAATTACTATTATGGTCACTCTGTTCTGCTGTTGAACAAGTCTTGAGAAAGGTCTTACTTCTCTGGAGGGAGATATAACACCTTAACATTACTCATGAGGTGACTTAGACCAAAAGCATTCATAAGAGAAAGTGCCATTTGCTCCTCCAGAGGGAATAATGTTGAAAACATTTTACAGATCTGGTCTCAAGAAGCTGTTAAGCTGTCACTGATGGCTTTTCACAGTGACACTGGAGGCCTTGACATTCACCCAGTGTTGGTGGTAAATAGAATCCAGTTTGCCACCTTCCAGTGAGGTTTAAGCGTTGTGTTTCTTTTTTTTTTTTTTTTTTTTTTTTGCGTTACACGGGCCTCTCACTGTTGTGGCCTCTCCCGTTGCGGAGCACAGGCTCCGGACACGCAAGCTCAGCGGCCATGGCTCACGGGCCCAGCCGCTCCGCGGTATGCGGGATCCTCCCAGACCGGGGCACGAACCCGTGTCCCCTGCATCGGCAGGCGGACTCTCAACCACTGCGCCACCAGGGAAGCCCCTAAGCGTTGTGTTTCTTTAATGAACCTTGAGTGGATCCCATCTCCAGACTACAGATCGTGGCATGATTGATTACTAAGGCTTGTGAATGAAATGTCTTGACATATTTCATTAATGCTCTGTAATAATATAGCCAAATTTTCTCTCATAGTTGTACGTCAGTAGCCACTGGGTTATAGCAAAAGTCTCATGGGCTCACCTATCAGTATTTCAAAGGGAAGTGTGAGCATCCCGGGCAAGATATTAGTTTATTTTTTGATGTTTCTCTTTTGCTGATTCTGAGTGACGTGGACAGTGGAAATGTTGAGTCTGTAAGACTCTCTGGACTTCTTGAGCAATAAAATGTGTGGTCATGTCACCAAAAATTTCAGAGTCTTAAATCTGGAGATGAAATCTTTGATTCTAAGTAACAGTGAACATATCAACTTATCTACCTGAAGACATACATACAATAAAACATAAATAATGTTTGTTTTCAACTGGGTAAAACCAATCTTGATACAGTGCTAGTTGCCTGAAAGGAAAAAAATTCTAAGTCTCCCTTTTTTGAGGGTCATGGCCTCCTGGCTTTACTCTTAATATGTTTCTATTAGCTATAAACTTCATTGTCTCTCTTTTTATGCTTAGGCCTAGAAAGCATAGGGAGCTGCCAGAGAGCCTCATTTCTTTGTCCTGTATGAGATTTTCCAGGACCATCACTTCCCTGCTCCAATATATAGAATAATTTCTCTTCAAATTGCCCTGGTTCTTTCACAGGAGAATAACATCAGCATCTAAACTCCATGTTCGAAGCATGTATGTTCGATGGTTTCTTACAGGTCCTTGAGGTGTTAGCTTCATATAAGTAGTTGGTGCACCAGTGAATGAGCTACACAAAATATTATGTAAAGCTGTAAGGCTTGGCTAAAAGTAATTTCTTAATTGTCTAATCAGTCAATATGAATTAGTCAGTATTATTCACACTTAAACTACTAGATGAATAAAAGATTTAACATTACAGTTGCCTTTGGTGACCACCCTTTGGGTATATTTTCACTAATATTGAACAGTCAGATTATTTTCTTCTTGAGTAATAATTTTCAGTTCTAGTGCAGTCATATAAACACTTGCACAGTATTTTAGTTCTATAATTTAAGTTCAGTTCAAGGGGATTGATATTTCAATCTGACAGTTCTTACTTAGTGGCAGCTTTAGCTACAACTCCTTATTAGCTCTACCAGGCCACTTTATGAATTGAGTGGAAAAAAATATGAGAAATATTTCTCTAACATCTTTCTAGTCCACCCAGACTAGACCCAATGACCCAATACATAGTATGTATAAAAGACTGTCATATACAATACAAGCTCCCTGTCAGAGAAACTCATTTTCTAGTCTTTATAGAAAAAGAAACTGTAGTAATTTTATTGAAATCTACATGTTTTAAGTGAACACATATCAAATGTAGAATATCTGTATGTATCTGTATTATATAGAATATCTGTATTTTATAGATAGATAGATAGATCTGTTTCTGGGCATTCTGTTCTGTTCCATTGGTTTGTTTGTTTTTCCCTGCACCAAAACCATACTCTTAATAACTCTAGTTTTATAATAAGATGATATCTGTTAGGGAAAGTCCTCTTGCCTTGTCTTTCAAGAGTGTCTTGGCTTTTCTTAGACTTTTAAATTTAAAGTTCAGTTTGGGGAGAATTGACATTTTTCATTGTTAAGTCTACAAACCAGGAATATGGTGTATATCTTTTTATATAATGCTGGTGCCAAATTGGCAGTTGTGCCCCAAATTTAAAACAAGCAGTTTTGAATGTTCACTTATTTAGGTCTTCTTACATATATTTCAGTAAAGTTTTATGATTTTCTTCACATAAATTTTCACATCTTTTATTAGATTTATTTCTTGAAGATGTATTAGTTATCTGTTGCTGTGTAACAAATTACACCCCCCCCAAAATAAAAAACCTAGTGGCTTAAAAAAACAATTAACATTTATTATTTCACAGTCTCTGTGCGTCAGGAATTTGGGAGGAGCTTAGCTGGATAATTCTGACTCAGGGGCTTATGAGGTTGCAATCCATTATGTCAACCAAGACTACAGTCATCAAAGGCTTGACTGGGGCTGGAGGATCCAGTTTCAAAATGGCTCACCCATGTGGCTGCAAGGTCAGTCAGTGCTGGCTGCTCGCAGGAGGCCTCAGTTCCTCTCAATTTGGGTCTCTCCATAGTCCTACAAGTATTCATCTTTACAACATGATGGCTGGTTTCTCCCCAGAGCAAGCAATCCAAGAGAGCAAGGCAGAAGCCACAGAGTCTTTTGTGAGTAGCCTCAGAAGTCACACTCCAACCCAATCTCCTAATGGTTATTCAGATAACCCCTATTCGGTGTGGGGCGGGGTTGCATAATGGCATGAATTCCAGGAGGTAAGAATCACCATTCAGAGACTGGCTACCACAGATGCTGTTTTAAGTAATTCCCTTTCATTTCATTTTCTGGTCATTGCTACTGCAATCAACTTTTTTGTTGTTGTTTATTTCTCTCTTACAATTAATGTTTGTATCCAGCAACTTTGCTAACTCTTATTATTCTACTAATGTATCTGGGCATTCTTTCGGAATTTTTGAACATAGTCTATCTTTTGCAAATAGTATTTCCTTTCCAAACCTCCACTCCTTTTATTTTTTTTTCTTGACTTATTGTGCTGACCAGAACTGACAATATCACAATCATCTACGAATAATGACTTGTTTTTTGCTTTTCAATCTTTATTCCTTTTATTTCTTCTCTTACTGGCCAGACCTTCTGTGTAATGTTGGATAAAAGCAGTGATAGCAAGTATCCTTGTATTATTCCTGATTTTTTTTTTCTTGGCCACGCCATGTGGCATGTGGGATCTTAGTTCCCCGACCAGGGATGGAACCTGTGCCCCCTGCAGTGGAAGCGCAGCCTTAACCACTGGACCGTCGGGGAAGTCCCAAAGTTTTGTAAGCATTGTTACCCAAGGGGCCAGCTCCCTTGAAAGGAGGAAGCCAAACATAGCTGATGGGTATCCTTGGGGGCAAAATTTAGTAATTCCCTCTGTCTTTACCCCATTTCAGCCCGTCACCTTGATGATTTCACTGCTGGTAACATTTCTTGAGAGTTTTGGGGTTTTTTGTTTGTTTGTTTGGGCTGCGTTGGGTCTTCGTTGCTGCACATGGGCTTTCTCTAGTTGCAGTGAGCGGGGGCTACTCTTTGTTGCAGTACTCAGGCTTCCCATTGCGGTGGCTTCTCTTGTTGCGGAGCATGGGCTCTAGGCACGCAGGCTTCAGTAGTTGTGGCACGCGGGCTTAGTTGCTCCGTGGCACGTGGGATCTTCCCGGACCAGGAATGGAACCCGTGTCCCCCGCATTGGCAGGTGGATTCTTAATCACTGCACCACCAGGGAAGTCCCTGATAACATTTCTTAAGATGAGACTCAGTTTTGTCCCTCAACCTAATCAGACTCTTGGGTCTGGATTTTTCTTCTTGCCAAGTGCAAGAAGGTGAAAATGGGGGCTCAGGACCTTCAGACCTAAAAAGATACCATGTGAAACCCAGTATCTTTGATAGGGGCCTGATACATAGTAAACACTTAATAAATCTTCTTGGTCTTCTTTTTCCAAACAGATCCCGAATCAGCAAAGTAGAGCTCTTTAGATCATTCCAGAAGCTGCTAAGCAGTATTTCAGAGGACAAGTGGCCAGACTCCCTCAGGTGATGCCATTGACCTATGTTTTTTCATATTTAGGAAGACTTCTGGTTTAATTCTGCTTATGGATGGCAGGAAGCTTTGGCAGGAATGGTGGTTCAGTAGGCGAGTGGGTACTTATTACTAACCACATGCTCTTCAATCCCCATGGCCCCATTTGCAGATATGTGTATGATCTGAGCCGTGGGAGATGGGTAGTTGGTAATACAGAGTCACACGAGCCTAAGGGCAGAATTGGGGCCTGGGCCATTACAGGCCCTCCTCTTGTTCCACCTCCAGATGGACAGCATTGTGGAAATGTGAGTGCTTGGGGAGCAATAGATTCTGTTGGGAATATCATTCTCTTCTCTTTTTCTTTTGTTCACATCACTGCTTGTGAACGGAAGCTCGAAGACTTAAATTACTTTCCAAACAGGAATGTAGAGAACTATAAAACCACTGCTGGGGCAGGTGGGTGGGTGGAATTCAGATACTAACTACCCAGGGTTAGGCCAAATTTCACAGGGTAGGGGCACAGTCCCCACAAACTGACCTCACTTCAGGACACCAGCCACAGCCACATACTGGGGTGGGGGGGGGCAAAGCCACTTACACTTCTGACCAACTGACTACAAACTCAGGTTCCTACTTACCCCTCAGGTTCAGTAATTCACTAGAAAAACGCACAGAATTCAGGAAAGCACCATACTTACAATTACCTTTTATTATGAAGGATACAAATAAGGACCAGATGAAAGAAGAGCCACATAGGGCAAGGTCTCCAAGGGTCCCCAACCTGACACTTCTGTGTCCCCAGGATGCATCACCCTCCCAGCATGTCACTGTCTGTCACCAACCAGGAAGCTGACCTGAGCTTCAGTGCTCAGCATGTTTAGTGTCGTTTCATCAATAAGCATGATTAATAGAATTGTTGGCCACATGATGTGGTTGAACTCAGTCTCCACCTTCCAGTATTCCCACCTCAGGAGGTCAGACTGATATCAGATGGCTCAAAGCCCCAACTTTCTAAACTCATGGTTGGTCTTTCTGGCATGGCCAGCCCATCCTGAAACTATCTAGGGCCCACCATGAGTCATCTCGTTAAGCAAAAACTTAGGTGTGATCTGAGGGGTCCACCATGAATAACAAAGACATTCCTATCGTTAGGGGAATTCTAAGGGCTTAGAGGCTCCCTGCCAGGAACTGACAACAAAGATCAGCCAAATTCTTTTTTATACAACAGTGGGGAAGCGAAGGCGTAGCTATATATGCTTCCATATGAAGAGGCTACCACCTGTTTTCACCATCATGCATCCTACAGTCAGTATTGATGCCCTCCCGTCATCCATGGTCAGTTTGCTTGTTTCTTGTCTGGAAGAATGAATCAGACTGGAACTGGGTGGGTTTCCATACATTCTGTGACTTAAAAACAAATCTGGACTTAGGTAAGGAGAGACTTCATTCAAAAGGATTATTGTAATAAGAGAAAGGGCCTGTTACAATAGGAGGAGGACTAACGCAATAGCAAGGACACTGCAATCTTAAGATCTGTAAGCCTCTCGAAGAGCAGGTGCAAAGGAATTTTCTTTTATACGGAGAGAGAAGCAAAGTTAGACAGAGCTGGGAATGGGGGAGTAGGACGAGCCGGTAGTGTGATGGAACAATTGAACAGGAAGTGTTGATTCTCAGGAGGGGCTGTTAAAAGAAGGGCTTGTTACACATGCTGATGCTGGCTCAGGCTGAAAGTGGCTCAAAGTTCGGGGGTCTGGGGGAAGGAGAGAAGCATAACTAATATTTGGTCAAATTAGCAGGCATGTGGTCGAGATTTTGTCAGTGGGTACAAACAGTTCAGCTAATCGTTATGAGGCAAAGAATGGGGTCTGTGTCTGGCCTTGTTAGAGGTAAACCAGGGGGGCATTCATGAGTCTGTCTAAGCCATGAAGAAGGGTGGTTCTTTGCAGTCAGCCACTTCCCACAACACAGAAGTGTGGGAGGGAGATTTTTTAACCATAGCTTGTTTGGGGAACTAAGGGCTCAGGTAAAGTTTAACATTGTCATGTGTGTGGTTCCCATCCATTAACCACCAAAAAGCTATGGGAAATTGATCAAACAACGAAAATCAGTGTTTGCTACCATTAGCAGCTTTAATCTTTGCTGAAGTGAGTGAAGAAACAACTTGGGTCTCCTCAGATCTTGGCAAAGAACGAAAGAGTAGAAGCAGGATAAAACCTGAATCAATGAGACATGAGGCTCAGTTTCTTCAGCTATGAGATGGCAAGGACAGAGCTCAAGGTCGGGGCTGAATCGAGAATAGGGCTCAGAGGAGCCTGACTCAAGTTTGATCAAAGGAAAGAATCTTTGTCACAAGAAAATCTTTTGATCTGGGAGTGAGTATTATAGATATTATTCAGCACGTCAGCCATTCTTCAGCAGTCAGAGACGCTAAGGGATTTGGGAAGGGGTGTTGGCTGGCAGTACATAGGAGAATATGATTAAGATGGAAAGTGCTTTGGGAAAATGCAGTTGAGAAATTTCTAACAGCTAGATCCTTATGGTGGAAATTATAGACACATAGAAAATTTTAAACCAAGTAGTAGATAGAGTTATTCTTGTTTTATCTGATTCTACCAGGACCAGACAAAACTAGCATTCTGTTTATTCTTACCTGTTTTAATCCATGCTGTTTTCTAGTGAATTCCCTACAAAGGAGGTAAGAGTCAGCATAGGACAGCATAACAAAATCTTCCTGCTTCCTAAGTCTCTTGTAATAAATCTGTCCAGCCTATTGCTGAGGTGTCTTGCTGGCCACGGTGGTGAGCTGTCCAGTGAGAACTTGTGTGCTTGGTGGTGTGTGTGCATTAGGGTGCAGAAGCTAGTGACGTACCATGAGTACAAGGAGGCCGCATCCACTTATCAGCAGGCCTGGAGCGCACTCCGAAAGCAGGCATTTGGATCCTGGATCAGAAACCCACCGGATTATCAACAATTTAAATGAGCAAAGTTTACTGGCAGCAGGGTGTTTTCCATTCATTCATTCTGGACTGCCTTCTTCCTACGTGCTGGATAAGCCTTAGCTTTTCTTGTGGCTGATCAGGAAAAAAAGACTGCCATCTACCAGAGTAAAATATCTCTTCTGTGTGAGATGGATGGAATTCTGGACATGGAACAATCTATACTTGACTGAAGTAGCTCACTGCTAAAACAGCATCTTGCTAATGACCTTGGTATGTGTCCTGTGTTTTATTGCTTCTCTAAGAATAAGAATTTGGAACGTGATGCTTTAAAAGTACTCTGCAATAGCTCCATTTTGTCTTTTCCTATATTGATTCGGCAAGTACTTATTGGGCTGAGATAATCTTTGAATCTCTGCAAGTTTTAGAGTTTTGCCTGTCATAGTGGGCATGTATTTTGTATATCCAGTCTTTTTTCCTTTGGAGAACCACCCTTTCCTGCTTTACCCATGCTTGGATGAAGTGAACTTTACTCCTTGGCTCCAGGAATGTGAGCCAGCCTTGAACAGTCCTGGAACTAGTGCCAGAGTGATCAGGTAAGATTCTCTCTCCTCTTGTATCAGGAACTATAAACGCCACGTAATCTTGGGATTGCCTGTGGCTGCCGTTGCCTACTACATAGAGACAGCCAGCTTGAGAACAAAGGCAATGAAGGAAACAGCTGAGAGAATCAGAGCTCTCGTGACCTTGTCTGGATGCCTGAAACTAGTGCCTACTCTGGACTTCAATTATGTGAGATAAATTCCTATTGTTTTGAGTAAGCCTGTTTGAGACTGTTTTCCTATGACTTTCAATGGAAAGAGTTCTGTCTAAAAGGCCAAAAGTCCCTATAGTAATTCAGCAGCAGAGCTAGCAGTCAATGCTGTTTTTACTAACAACTAATGTTTAACTTTCAACCTCTTCACACTCTAATTTATTGACTAAAAGTGGAAGTTCTCCATGTTGGGATTACTCAAGGTCATTGTTGGTTCTTCAGTATTTCCTTATACCTTTAAATATTTTAAATAACAGCTTTATTGACATATAATTCACATACCATAAAAATTCACCCATTTAAAGTGTACAGTTTGGTGGGTTTTAGTATATCCACAAAGGTGTGCAAACATCACCATGATCAATTTTAGAACATTTTTGTTCTCATCTGGGGGAGGCGGGGGGATGCTGTTTGACCCAGTACAGTATCCATTAGCAGCCGCTCCTCATTTCCCCTCAACCCCCTCAGCTCCAGGGCAAACAGTAATCTACTTTGTGTCTCTATGGATTTCCCTGTTTTGAACATTTCATATAATGGAATCATACAATATGTGGTCTTTTGTGACTGTCTTCTTTCACTTAACATGATGTTTTAAGATTCATGATGTTATAACGTGAATTGGTAGCATGAGTCAGTACTTTATTCCTTTTTATGGAATAAAAATAATATTCAGTTCTATGGATATACCACATTTTGTTTATCTAATCATCAACTGATGGACATTTAGGTTGTTTCCACTTTTTGGCTATTGTGAATAGTGCTGCTATAATCATTCATATACAAGTTTGCATGTGAACATATGTTCTTAATTTTTTTTATTACAGAAGTAATACGTAAGTTTTTTTTTTTTTAATTTACCATTGTAACTTTTTTTTTTTTTTGGGCTGTGCCATGCGGCTTGCAGGATCTTAGTTCCCTGACCAGGGATTGAACCCAGGCCACAGCAGTGAAATCACTGAGTCCTAACCACTGGACCACCGGGGAATTCCCCCATAAGTTTTTCATAACAAGTTATCCTTGAACTTTTTTCTATAAGGAATCCTTTTAGATAGCAGGAAAGAAAGACAAAAACATCACTACCTGAAGGCCAGACCCCTACCATATGCTGCTTTAATCAGAGAGATCCTTTTGCCTGACCCCAAATCCTATGATACGAGAGCAGTTAAGATACCTCGATTGGCAGAAGCTTTTATCCACAGAAAATTATGCATCTCTCTCTCTCATGAGATTCTTTTTTTTTTTTTTAATATTTTTTAATTTTGTCTGCGCCAGTTCTTAGTTGCAGCATGTGGGATCTTCGTTGTGGCATGCGGACTTCTTATTTGCAGCATGCAGACTCTTAGTTGCGGCATGAGGACTTCTTAGTTGCGGCATGCGAACTCTTAGTTGCGTCACACATGTGGGATCTAGTTCCCCGACCAGGGATCAAAACCAGCCCCCATGCATGGGGAGTGCGGAATCTTACCCACTGGACCACCAGGAAAGTCCCGAGATTCTATTTTAAAGGATAAAGATTTATATGAGAATGTAAGGAGATAGTCTTTTTATTCCTAAATTTTATAGTGTTCATCACATGTGCACCCAAAAAACTAAATATTAAAAACACTCCTGAATTTACGCTTCAGAACAGAGACTGGCAAAACCCTGAAAGATAGAGACCAGAGGCAGCTTCACCTTGGACTCTGCCTGTTTTCTCAAGAGCTAAAAGGGGAGCTTAGACAGCCAACTTCCTACATTTTGCTTTAATCTCTTAAAACCCAAGTTTAGGGACTTCCCTGGCAGTCCAGTGGTTGGGACTCCATGCTTCCACTGCAGGGGGCGTGGGTTCGATCCCTGGTCGGGGAACTAGATCCCACATGCCACGTGGTGCTGCCAAAAAAAACACCCCAAAAACAAAGCCAAACAAAACAAAAACCCAAGTTTAGAATCTCACCTATGCCTTAAAATCACATCTCTGCAATATTGGCAGGTTCTCGAACTTCATACATTTAGATCATATGTTTTTACTGATAACTGCTTCCAATTTTTAAGTACCTTTTTAGACACTTGTTATAGGACATCCCTGGTGGCGCAGTGGTTAAGAATCTGCGTGCCAATGCAGGGGACGTGGGTTCTATCCCTGGTCTGGGAAGATCCCCCATGCCAGGGAACAACTAAGCCCATGCGCCACAACTACTGAGCCTGTGCTCTAGAGCCTACGAGCCACAACTACTGAGCCCACGTGCCACAACTACTGAAGCCCCCACGATGAGAAGCCCGCTCATTGCAACGAAGGGTAGCCCCTGCTCACTGCAACTAGAGGAAGCCTGCATGCAGCAACGAAGACCCAACGCAGCCAAAAGTAAATAAGTAAATTTATAAAAACTTGTTATAGAAGTTTTTAAATAGACAAAAAGTAGAATAGCACAGTGGGCCTCCATGTACCCATCACCCAGACTTAACAATCATCAGCTTTATGCTGTTGTTACCTAATCTATTCCCCCCTCCCCTCCAATTTTGTTTTTCTTGGAATATTTTAAAGTGAATTCTAACCATCATATTCTACCCAACAAAATTAACAATCATTCCTTAATATTTATTATGCACGCTGTGTTTTATTTCCCCTGTTGTCTCAAAAATGTCTTCTGACTATTTTGTTGAAATTAGGATCCAAACAATGTCCACACAATGCATTGGATTGACGTGTCTTTTTCTCACTAAATCTGTAGCAGTTCACTCTTCTTTTTATGTGCTTAACAAATGGGTTATTTGTCCTGTAGACTGTCCCCCATCCAGGATTTGGCTGCTTATTTCCTCCAGTGTTGATAGCAGGTTCTCTCTCCCTCATATTTCCTATAAATTTGTGGTTACATGGAGAGGCTTGATTACATTCAGGTTCAGTTCTTTTCAGGTGGTTCTGCACAACATAGGGTTGTCCCGCTTTCAGTGATTAATCAGTGCGTTCATTGGTATCAGCCTGATCTATCCCATCACCCTTTTACAGAATGGTTTTAGCAACTGTGTTATGAGGTCCCCAAGACCACCCTTAGGTTGATTCACTAGACAGACTCACAGAACTCAGAAAAACTGTTACAGTTACCATTTATTACAGTGAAAGTCAGCAAAGGGAAAGGCACATGGGCGAAGTCCAGGAGACAGTCTGCACAAGCTTCTAGTTGTCCTCTCTGCTAACCTTGTGTCTCTGATGCTTTGACATCCTTGCCTTGCTGACCCTGGAGAGACTGCCCCTCCCAGGGATAGCCAGTTTCTAGAGATAAAGACTCATCTCTGAGCACACCTTTTGTACGTATACCAACCAATCCAGAGCCCATACCCCAACCACCTCCTTTCTGGGGCTCTCACATTCTGGGCCACTATCCACCTGCCCTAATCACACCAGGGCCAGGCACCAGAAAACCAGGGGCAGTCACTGTGCCTCAAGAGTCTACTGAAATTAGTCAAACCAGCCAATCCCAAGCCTGTTTACCTTGCGCGTCCCGTCCCTTCCCCTTCACAGTAATGGCTCTTGCCCACATTTCCTCCTTCCTCCCTGTGCCTCCTGACCCACCCTGGTGCTTCCCCAGGTGGCTCCTCCTGCTGTGTCATGTTTCCTCCTCCTATATTTTAGAACATTCTCCCAGGGCAATCAATATTTAGTTTTTTGGGTGCACATGTGACAAACACAGCACTTAATTCTCGGGGCAACGATGTGTGACTGTATGTGCAAAATGTTGCCAATCAGGGAAGTTCACCTGAGCCTTGGGTGCTGACACCCTATGGTGCACAGGACAACCCCCCACAACAAAGAATTATCCAGCCCAAAATGTCAGTTGTGCTGAGATTGAAAAACCAGATCTAGGGATTGTGAGGTTTTTTGATTTTTTTTGTTTTTGGCCTCGCCTCGCGGCTTGCAGGATCTCAGTTCCCCAACCGCGGATTGAACCTGGGCCACAGCAGTGAAAGCCCCGAGTCCTAACCACTAGACCACCAGGGAACTCCCAGATTGTGAACATTTTAAAGTCACTTGAAATAGTTCCTCTGTAGTTAGTGCTTCAAATATATATAGTTAATTTTGTCTCCTTTCGCTTTCAATTTTTAGGGGGACTTTTTAAAAAATTATGTAAAATATTTAAAACAAGTTTTTGTTTTGTTTTGTTTTGTTTTTGCGGTACGCAGGCCTCTCACTGTTGTGGCCTCTCCCATTGCGGAGCACAGGCTCCAGACGCACAGGCTCAGCGGCCGTGGCTCACGGGCCCAGCCGCTCCGCGGCATGTGGGATCTTCCCGGACCAGGGCACGAACCCATGTCCCTGCATCGGCAGGCGGACTCTCAACCACTGTGCCACCAGGGAAGCCCCAAGTTTTTTTTTTTAAGGTACATTCAGAGAGGTCTTACATCCTTGTCCCCTCACCTCTGTTTCTTCCTGCCCCCAGCAGTAACCATTTTTATTAGTTGGTGGACATTGCATATTCTTTCTTTTCGAAATACTCTGTGAATAGCCTACATAGAATATTTTGTATTTTTGCCAATGTATATTTTGGATAGATTCTTAGAGGTGGGATTCACTGTGTCAAAGGGTAAATGAACATATAATTTTTCTTTATTGAAATATGTCTTCTAAATTCTGTTTCTAAATACAATGAAGTGTAAAAAAAATAGCAAAATGTAGGGCAGCATTATAACATTCCATTTCTAAAAAAAAGAAGGATGAAAGGTATATATCTATGTTTTGCTAAACTAGCTCTGAATAGATGCACAGGAAACCACTAACACAGGGCCTATGGGGTGGGAAAGGGAATGGCTGGGGCCTGGGAGTGGGAGGGAGACTTTTCTTATTTTTAAAATTTTGAACCATGTTAATATAGTATCTATTTTTAAAAGTAAAATTTAGAAAATGAAAAAAAATAGAAAAAGTTTAAAATATCAATAGTTTTAAACTGTAGAAAAACCCCAACATACTCAGAAGTGACATTGCATAGGGAAGAGGGATTCAACATGCTTTAGGCAGCTAATTCCGCAGAATTCCCTCTTTACTGACAAAATGTCTTCTGAAATTTGGCTCTTTCAGAGAAGTTTACTTCTCTGAAAATTTTCAGCATTGCTTCCTCTTTATTCTGTGTTCACAAGTGGGTTCCAATGTTGTGACTATGTGTGCATAATTTTTATTCTCTTAGAATTTTTAAAAGTTGTCTTGATTTAAATAATTTTGTGTATATATTCCATTTAGTCATTTCTGCCTGAAAACATGGGGTTAAATGCCTTTTTTTTTATGGTGTTTTTTGGTGCCAAGCATTAGCTCACTGTCTGGGGAGACAAGCTGATGTGGAGAAAATGATCCAGGCTGGCCGTCAGCGCTCCGCTTAAAAGAGAAGCAGGCCCCGTATGATTTGGTCGTGTCTGTGGCTGGTGGAAAGCTGCCTTCACCTGGACCTTGCCAACACTTTTTGGCCTTAAGACAATGTTCTGAGCAAGACTTAGCCAAAGTTTTCCAGTTTCTAAAACCCAGATCCCTTGCTGACTAAATAGCTTAGGACAATGTTAGGTTTTTAACTGCCTCTGCCCTCCTGTAATGATGTCTGGGGAAGTCAGAGGAGCTGCGAAGAGGAATCCCACTGCAGCGGAAGGTTATCGAAACTAGGAAACAGCTTCCAAGTAGAAAGATAATGCATATGTGCTCACTTTCAAGGGCTCAGGCAATTCTTTCCATAGGAACAGAGGCAGCTACTCTAAAGGAGTGGTGTGTTACAGAAAGAGCCAAGAAGGCAGATATTTTGGAGATAGCAACTTTATTTTCCAGAAGGTAGAGTTCTTTTTATACCACATATTGAGGAATCATAGTTGGCGTTTGCTTCTTATAAACGTGGATGCCTTTAACCCTAAATATGTCTGTGCTGGGGCTAAGGCTGACTTTCTGGAAGAATGTCCAGATGGATCCAAAACAAATCTTAAGTAGTACTTGCGGTCCAAAAGGGAGAGGAAAATTCTGCAAAGAGACATTTCAGGGCTTCAGGCAAATTCACATGCATTCAATTTTTATTTCTTAAAACTGGAGCCCCGAAACTTATCAAAAGGGATGGAAATCAGAGCAGGTGTTGTTGCTGGGTGCAGGAAGATGGGACAAGGGAGTTGAGTGGAAAAAGGCCCAAGGGAACTTTCTAGGATGATGGAAACATTCCATGTTTCGACTGGAGTTTTGATCACGTGGGTGTAAACATTTGTCAAAATGTATTAAGCTCTACACTTAAGATCTGTGCGTTTTATTGTGTGGAATTAATATCAGTATAAAAATGTTAAAAAAAAACCCAGTCCTTATTAGTGACTTGGCATAGTAGAATAAACTTTGGTCTGGATATTCAAGTAGTTATGTTCTAGTACCAACTCTGCCACTACTTCCTATGTGGATGTGGGGAAAGCATTTAATCTCTTCATTCTGTCACCTGACCTAGAAAATGAGGCCTCAGGATTAGGATGCTCAATTTTTTTCCACTTGTAATAGGAATTCTTATAAAAATTCTTAACTCAGTAGATAATACAAAGAGAAATTTTCTCCAGGAAACTAAGCCCATTTGATGCTGTGAGATATGTATGCTCTCAGTCGTGTTGGTAACAAGGGAGGGATGGAAATAAATTTTGTCTTTGCAACCTGGGCCCTGGATTTTGGTGTGAATTTTTTGTCCCTCATCCCAGTGAGCTAGCAGGATGAGGAACCAGCTTTTAGAACTAAGCGTGTTCAGCACTGCTCTTCAGTCTCCAGATTCAGGAACTGTCTTGATGGGAAAAAGGCAAAGGCAGAAAGTCGCTCCAAGTGGGGACCCAGGCTGCCAAATGTTGGTCGCAAGCACATGTTCCATGAACTTGGGCTTGGCTCCAGACGGAGAAGAGCTCACAATGGAAACAGTGATGGCTGTTTGCTCAGGCAGCCAAGAGAATGAAAAGCACATTGAAACCCAGCAGTGTCTCCATGGGGAGAGGCACAGTGGGCCCCTGGGTGGTGAAACCAACCTGACAACAGAGCAGGATCAGAGAGCCTATTCCCAGCATCTTTCTTCAGTTCAACAACAGACCTTTATGTGCAACCTCTCAGGAAATCTCTGAGAAATTAAACCGTGGGCCATGCCACAACTACTGAAGCCAACGTGCTTAAAGCCCATGCTTCACAACAAAATAAGCCACTGCAATGAGAAGCCCTCGCACCGCAACAAAGAGTAGCCCCCACTTGCCACAACTAGAGAAAGCCCGTGCGCAGCAACGAAGAACCAATGCAGCCAAAAGTAAACAAATAAATTAAAAAAAAAAAAACGGAACTAAACTGTGGGCAACCCGAGCTTTGCCCAGCAATAGAGGCACCCTCAATCTAGTCTGCCCCAGTTTTAAATTAGCTTCTATTAATTGAGAGAAAGCAAAGAGCTCTTCTCAATGTATGTTCCCTGTCCCTCCCCGCAAAGATTTCATCAACTTCCTTTTTTATTGCTGCTATAGTGGACTATTTTGACCTCTAGTGAGTACCTTTTCAGTTGGTATTTTCATGCTATACTTTTCCTCATTTCCCCAGTGGTATGTGAATGCCCTCCTATCCCAGCACATCAGTAACTGCTGGGCTGAGAAAACAGCTGGCAGCGGGAGAAACCAGGCTTCGGGGCGAGAGAGCAGGAGTACAGTCTCAACAGGTCCGGATGACACCGTTCGCTCACCTGTGCCAACACAGGCAGATCGTGCAGCCCAGCTCTTTGCCTCTCCCATGAAAGATGGGGTTGACCAATGTGGGTTAGTATTTTGCTTACATGTACTTTGGAAGAATTCTGTTCTAAATAAAGGATGGCACGTAAACTATGGTGCAAAGGTTGTAAGCCCAAAGATATCCAGGAATAGGAAACGTTTAAAAAGTAGGTGGTGTGAGTGACTTCCCTGGTGGTCCAGTGGGTAAGACTCCACGCTCCCAGTGCAGGGGGCCCGGGTTCGATCCCTGGTGGGGAACTAGATCCGGCATGCATGCCGCAACTAAGAAGCCCACATGCCTCAACTAAGACCCAGTGCAGCCTAAATAAATGAATAGATAAATATTTTTTTTTAAAAAGTAGGTGGAGTGAACTGGCAAGTTCCTTGTCCAAAGAGGAGCCATTATTTTGTTCTGGCTGATTGTTGCCAGATCTTCAGAATTTTTTGAAGAGAAGCAAGAAAGTTGTGTTTTTACGTACATGTCTAGGGTCCATGTAGACACAGGCCTTCAGCTTCTAACCTCTGGTCTAGCAGAACAAGGATGGACTTTGGCCATAGACTTGAGTTTGAATTGTGACTCCAGGATGGACTGAGTGTGTGATCTTTGGTGGGTAAGTGCATTTTCAGAGCGTCAGTATCCTCACCTTTGACATGAGGGCAACACCACCCCGGCAGTGGGGTTGTGGCGATGAGATGAGATACTGTTCAGCACAGGCATGAGGAGGGCTGCCTACCGCGTGTGCAGTTCCTGCCTTGGTCTGTCACTGCCGCTTATAAGGTACTCTGCAGTTTACTGATCCTGATTTCCAAAACTTTTGCTAACAAACGTTAAGAGATCGTCCTTAGGAGAAGCGTGTTGGGCAGATGTTTGTGGAGCCCCTTGCTGCGCACCAGGCGTTTGCTTGCGTGCACCACCCCATCCCACATCTGGAAGCAGCAGCCTGTCTCCAGCAGCTAAGGAGGTGAGGAAGCAGAGCTGTTGATCACAGAGAAATATGTAGATCCTCCTACCTAACTCCGTGGCCTCGCCTTCCTGATGTCAACCACCAGGATCGTTTTTTTCTCCCTGAGGAAATAAAGATGAAAGGGGTAATTTAAAATCCACAATTGAGTAAGAGGTGGGCGGAGGGCACGGGAGGTGGTAGTCGTTGTGTTTCGCCGGCCGGAAGGGGAACTGCGCGCTTGAGTTGACCAGGGACTGAGCGTTTCCGATCTGCTTGGTAAACCTGGTGCACCACCATGCTGGCCACAAGACTTGTGTGTCTCCGGACACTACCTTCCAGGGTTTTCCACCAGCTTTCACCAAGGCCTCCCCTGTTGTGAAGAATTCTGTCACGAAAAATCAATGGCTCTTAACACCCAGCAGGGAATATGCCACCAGGACAAGAATTGGAATTTGGTGTGGGAAAACTAGCCAAGAACTCAAGGAGGCAACTTTGGAACCATCATTGGAAAAATACTTAAAATTGATCAGATGGGAAGATTGCTGAAGGGGCTGCTGTTGGTCTTAGAGCTTTGTGCTGCTATGGCTTGGGAATGTCTAATGAGATTGGAGCTATTGAAGAAGCTGTAATTTGGACTCAGTATGTGAAGGATAGAATTCATACCACCTATATGTACTTAGCAGGAAGTATCGGCATAACAGCTTTGTCTGCCCTGGCAGTGAGCAGAACTCCTGCCCTCATGAACTTCATGATGAGAGGCTCTTGGGTGACAATTGATGCAACCTTTGCAGCCATGATTGGAGCTGGAGTGCTGGTCCAGTCGATATCATATGACCAGAGCCCAGGCCCAAAGCATCTTGCTTGGTTACTACATTCTGGTGTGATGGGTGCAGTGGTGGCTCCTCTGACGATATTAGGGGGCGCCTCTTCTCATCACAGCTGCATGGTACACAGCTGGTATTGTGGGAGGCCTCTCCACTGTGGCCATATGTGCACCCAGTGAGAAGTTTTTGAACATGGGAGCACCCCTGGGCGTGGGCCTGGGTGTCGTCTTTGTGTCCTCACTAGGATCTATGTTTCTTCCACTTACCACTGTGGCTGGTGCCACTCTGTACTCACTGACAATTTATGGTGGATTAGTTCTTTTCAGCATGTTTCTTCTGTATGATACACAGAAAGTAATCAAGCGAGCAGAAGTAGTACCAGTGTATGGAGTTCAAAAATATGATCCCATCAATTCGATGCTGGGAATCTACATGGATGCGAGTTGCCAGTATTCTGGCAACTAGAGTCAACAGAAAGAAATGAAGTGACTCAGCTTCTGACTTCCTTAATACATCAGATATCTGGCTTGTTTAATAGGGGCAGATATTCTTTTTTTTTTTTTTTTTTTCCGGTACGCGGGCCTCTCACCGTTGGTGGCCTCTCCCGTCGCGGAGCACAGGCTCCAGACGCGCAGGCTTAGCAGCTATGGCTCATGGGCCTGGCCGCTACGCGGCATGTGGGATCTTCCCAGAGCAGGGCACGAACCCGTGTCCCCTGCATCGGCAGGCGGACTCTCAACCACTGCGCCACCAGGGAAGCCCGGGGCAGATATTCTTTAAATAGTTTGTGCAAGCAGCTTTCGTTGAAGTTTAGAAGGTAAGAACTTGTCAACATTTCAGGTGTTCCAGTAATGTGATGCTTCAGGTCTGCTTTTTCTTCTGGAGAATAAATTCAGTAGTTCTCTTCCAAATTGCACACACATTTTCAATTCTCATGTTTGAGTAATTCTAAAATGTTCAAATGAATATGAAAACCAAGTTTTGTGTTGCAGGAATTTAAGTATTTTATCTATTTTTAAATTTATTTGGTTAAATGAAATTTAGCAAACTTGTGTACCTGCATTTTTCATTTTGGATTGCAAAATATTAACAAGTAACGTCATAAGTGATGTAGGGGTTTGGTAAAGGGACCAGAGAGAAGTAAAGCGACACCTGCAGTCTTTCTTTGAATACTTAGAACTTAGCACTCGTGTAATTGTGGTGAGCCAGTGAGGGGGTCTGGATGTTTGGAAACAAGTCATGGCCGTATATCTGCTGAACTTATCAGAAGCACTGAGCAGAAAACAAAGACATAGGTGATTCTCCAGGCTCTCCTTACAATATGGATGTGATCACGTTTGGCTTCTCATTGTTTGACACTGTTAGGAGAGTCCACAATGCTAATCATGTGGAGAATTCCTGTTGTATATATTATGTGTGTGTGTAAGTCTTACTTTTGAATTGTCTAGAACAAAACATGCTTAAAACACTCAGGAAAAAATATTCGAAGCATGAAAATTGTTGCATTTTTAAGTATACAAACAATACGTGCATAGTTGCTGAATATTTTTGCAAATTTATTGAAATGTTTAAAGGAATACATGCTTGCCTTTCTTATCTCTTCAGGCTTTAAAGCTTTTATCAGAAAAACCTATTCGTGGTTTACACTTGAGATTATGAAAGCAGTTTTCCCCCTCAGATTTAGTTTCTTGCATTCCCTCTCAGAGGAATCACTAAAAAAAAGGAAGGCAAAGCAAGGCTTCTTTCATGAACTATATCAATCAAAAATGTAATGGAGAAAATGCTTCACTTAGAGTTTCCCCTAGCAGAATTCTCCTTCTCTCCTCCATAGACCATTATTTATAAGTTTCTTGACACAAAAGAGTTATTTTTGTAAGTTCTTATGAATGAAATGTGTATGATTATTGAGATACTTGGTGTTTTGACAAATACTTACTACAGTAATCCATAAATAACTATTCTACCCACCTCAAGTTACATAGGATGCCTATTTCTGAAATAATAAAGGTTCTAGCCAGAAAAAGTTTTAAAAATAAAAAAATAAAATCCCCAACTGTGCTTTTTAAAGCATTCTACCATTCAGCCTAATGAAGAGTGAGGCTTTTGAGAATAAGAACATTTACATTACCTCCTTCTAAATTCTCCTTGAAGGAGATGCTTGGGCCCCGTTTGGAATTGGTGCCCTGGTGCACATACCTGCCCCATGCCTTCTGTGTGGCTACAGTACATATTTTACGTATTTCAGCCACTGCTGCAACATTAAGATGCATTAGCACTTGTTAGGTAGGCTCTCAGTTCCAGGTGGACCTGTCATATATATAGCTTCTGAAACCATCAGTATATCAGGCTTTGTGCTGTGCACCTGAAATACAAGGAGGGGGGTTAGTCCTCTTGTTAACTCCTTGACTGATAGGGAAGGTGGGAAAGTGACTTTGCAGGGAACACAAGGATGGCCATGATAGAGGTCTAATTCCCAACTTGGGAGAGGAAGGGGCACAGGAAGATCTCATAGGCCCAGGTATACTTGCTCAGAGGTGAAGGGGAAGCAAACAAAGAGAAACTGGTGGTGCACATAGGGACAGCTTTGAGAGAAGGGTATTTGAGGTAGAGAATCAACGTATGCAAAGGCCAAAGATGACAGCACTGCGTGGCTGGGCTGGGGGAGTGTGGGAGGGGTTGGAGAGGCACTCGGGGCAAGTCGGTGAGGACTTTTGAGTCCTGCAAAGGAGAATGGTTTTATCCCAATGACTTGCCACTTAAAGGATTTTTGAGGAAAGGGTATTGGGATGGAAGTTGCATTTTAGCGATATCGCTCTCCTCGTTAACAAGGAGGATGGATTAGTCAGGGACAGGGATGGTGGCAGGGAGACCACAGTTGGGGGATTACTGTAATAATAAGAAGAGAAATGATGAGGCCCCGACAATAACAGTTTTAGGAGCCATTGGGAGGGGACTGACTTGAGAAATATGCAGAGGCTGGTGAGGCTGATTGGCTGACTGCGGTAGGGGATGAGGATTGAGGGAGCATTGAGGATGGCTCTCAGGTTCCTGTGTGGGTGAGAGGAGGGAAGGGGGTGCTGTATATGAGGAAAGGGGATCCAGGAAGAGGAGCTGCTCTGGGCTGGGGAGGGGGTCAGTGTCAGGAGTTGCAGGCAGGGGACGATGAGCTCAGACAGTTGGGATTTCTGTGATACTGCTGGCCAAGGACCTAAGAGGGGGCATTTGGAAGGACTGGCTTGGGGCTCAGGAGAGAGATGGACTGAGGATCAAGATTTTGGAGTCATTTATAGGAGGTCTTTAAAGACACGGGTTAGGATAAAACCATCCAAGGAGAATGTGTAGAGAATGAGAAGAAAAGAGGACCCTGGACTGAACCCTGGGGAACATGGAGAGTTCAGGAGTAGGTGGAGAAGCACAGGAAGGAGTGTGACCAAGACGCCAGAGGAAAATCAGGAGAAAGGCAACTAGGAGCTTCAAAGAGGAAGTAATCTGGAGTGTAGAATATATTAAAAGAGAGACAAGGAAGGTAAGAATTAAGAACCTCGTGGTTCCCCTCCAGCCCCTCAGCTGGGCGGACAAGGTTATTTTTGGTAACCTCAGCAAACGCAGGGTCAGGGAAGTAGAAGCTGGCCTCTCCTGGGCTGAGGAGTGAAGGGGAGTGAGAAATTGGAGGCACCCGTGTGCTGTTCTTTGAGAAGGACCCAATCCCTGTTCTCACTGATGTAACTTAAGAAGTTATTTAATAGTTCAAACATAACAATAAAAAGAAATAACAGCAGTAAATATTTTGCTATATTTGCTTCAGGTTTTTATTTTCTGGAGAAATAAAACATGACTAGCTATATTTGAAACCCCACATTGACCCCTCCCTGATACTGTTCCCCTCCTTCCATTAGGTAACCACCACCCTGAATTGCATGGTTATACTTTTATTACATAACTTTATATCTGTGAGCAATACTTAGAATTGTTTTCCATGTTTTTAAACTTTATAGAAATGATATGCTGAATATACTTCTGCATCTTGCTTTTTTCATTCATCAGCACCATTTTGGAGATTTATTTATGTTAACATATGTAGTTCTAGTGCATTCATTTTAACCGCTATATAGTATTCCTTTGTATGGCTATACCACATATTATCCTTCCGTTCTCCTGTTGCCAGACATTTAGTCTGTTTCCAATTCTTGGCTCATATAGACAAGGCTGCAGTGATCATTCTTGTACATGTCTCTTGTACATGGATGGGGATATTTCTAGGATATATACCTAGACATGGAATTTGCTAGGTCATGGGT